ACCAATTGTTTGTAGGACTTCTTCTGTAAAGAGACATTTTGAAAGTGTTCATAAGAACTTAAGCAATAAAACTAAGAAACAAAAAGAATTTCTTGTGAAATGAGCAAGGAAAAAAAACATGATACTTTTATGAACTTTATTTCAAGCAGGCACAGTTCCAACAGTTGCTACTAGTTTTGTGATTTCAAAAGTTACTGCCCAACATGGAAAGCTACGCAGTGATTGGGAGTATATTAAAGAAGCTTGGCTAGAATGTGCACCTTTCCTTTTTGACAATTGTTCAGAAAAGGAAAAGATTATTCATTGCATTAAAGATTTGTCTGTGAGTAGGAAAACAGTAACGGATAGGATACGTAAGTTGGAAAAGGCATACAGCTGAACAGATGACAAAAGATTTTTCTTCATGTAAGTTTTTTCTATTTGTGTTTATTTAAGTACGGACATTACATCATCAGCTAGACTAGCCATATTTTCTCGATTTTGTTGAGTAGATAATTTGTTCACAACTGCTTTGACAGTTGCCCTTGTAACACTATCAGGGCTGAAATATGTAAAGCAGTTGTGAATGAATTATCTACTCATCAAATTCACATTTCAAAAGTAGTATCTGCCACAACAGATGGTGCCCCCAGTATGACTGGTGAGAAAGCAGGATTTGTAAATCTGTTTGCAAAAGATGTCGGTCATCCACTGATAGGTTTTCATTGCATCATACATGAGGAGGTTTTGTGTGCAAATGCTGGCCTAAAGGAACTCCAGGAAGTGATGCAAATAGTTAGCAAGGTTGTTAATTACATTTCTGCTAGGGCTATAAATAAAAGACAATTTCAAATTTTCATTGAATGAGGTAGAATCTGTATATAAAGGACTGAAAATGTACAATGTTCATTGACTTAGATGAGGTTTGGTTCTGAAATGATTTTCTGAATGCTTACATCAGATAAAGCTCTTTTTGAATGATCAACAAGTGTCTTACCAAGAATTGTATGATATCATGTGGGTTTGTAAATTGATGTTTTTTGCAGATTTTCGTGAGCATTTAAATGACTTGAATATTAAGTTACAGGACTCTGGTAAGACACTTGATGTTATGTTTGGTCCCATAAAGGCTTTTCAAATGAAACTAGAATTTTTTAAGAGGGATCTAGATAATGAGAGATTTAGATACTTTCCAAACCTAAAGAGGTACATTAATGATTTCCCAAAAGATGGCAGACAGACAGCTAATGTTTTCAAAAGCTGTTTGTAAACATCATCAAATCAAATGTTGAGCAGTTCTTTTCAAGATTAGATAAATTCAGAGAACTGGAAGAGACAGCAAAATTCTTTAAGTTTCCAGATAGTATCAAACTGGATAGCTAAACTTGCAAATGTTTTCATGGATAGACGTGGATGATTTTAAAATGCAGTTGATTTAATTTCAGAGTAGCTCAATTTGGAAGAAGAAATTTGTTGACCTTAGAGTTGACGTGGAAAATATTGAAAAGGAGCAATTAGTGATGGCAATATCAGAGAGAAATGTGGAAAATGAAGTATTAAAGACCCTGAATACCATTCCAGAAACTTTTGTTTATTTAAAAAAAAAACTTGCAACAGCATTACTATCCATGTTTTCATCTACATATAATTGTGAATCTTTGTTCTCAGTGATGAACTTTGTTAAGTTTTATAGCAGGAATAGCCTGATGAATGAAACTAGTAGTGAATGCATATCTCTCAGGGTTACTAAAAATAAACCCAAAATAAAATCTCTGTCATCAGTGATGCAGCAGCAGAAGTCCAACTGATAATATATAAAGTTTTCAGTCTCTAGTTTTATCTGATGTTTTCTTTTGAAAGTGGCAAAGGTTCAGGGCTGTTTAAATGTAGTTTTGAAGGTAAGTAAATATATTTTGCTTTTTATACATCATTTATAAAGGATTTAAAATCAGCAAAAGATTCATTTTAGCAACCTCTTACTGTGTTTTAGTCATAAAATATGTAACTTGGAAAAAATGATGGTTGATTAATCAAAAAAATAACAGTTTTAACTTTTTGGGTTGATGCTAATAATAGCTAATAATAGTGTCTTTAAATTATGTATGTGTGGCAGTTACATTTACACTTACAGACTAATAAAAATATTAAAAAAAACATGTTTGTAAAAACCTGTGATAGTTTTTATTTCATTCAGTTAATTATACATGATTTATATAACTTCTTACAATACTGTGTCTTTACTGCTCTGGGGTGATTTTTTCATTTAAAAAAGTTCTTTACATACTTAAGAGATATCAAATAATATGCTCTCAAACAATTTTTGTTGTCATGTGTCAGAGATTTGGATGGTTTTGGCACACACTCTCAAAAAGGTTGTCTACTCTTGTCCTAGATTATTACTTTACTATTGCATTAGTAAGTAATGTAAGTGCTTATTTACAGAAAATTACTGGTATGTTCCAACTCAGATGGAAAATCCCATTACAACACATTGTAAGAATGGAACTCTGTCATAAGTTGTAGATAGGCGGGTACAAGAGGAGGAGGATAACAACATTCAGAAAACAGTCTGCCTGCCTTATGTGAAGGGGTTATCAGAGAAAATACGAAGGATCTGCGGTTCATATAACATCAGGACAACCTTCAAAAGCTTGACGACACTTCGCAGATATCTCTCCCGAGTAAGACCCCCAATAGAGGAGAACATGACTAAAGACTGTGTGTACACTATCCTGTGCAGCTGCAGAAAGGAATATAAAGGAGAGACAGGCCGCCCCCTCAAGGTAAGGCTTCAAGAACATCAGAAATCTGTAACACAGGGGAAAGTGGAAAAATCAGGCATGGCTGACCACATATGGAGAGAGAAGGGAGATCACCACCCTCTGTGGGATCATGTTGAGATAATAGACAAGGAACACCACTAGAAAATTTGTAAACTTAAGAAATCAGCACATATGCTAGGCTACAAAAATCTCCTGAGCTGACCAAGAATAGAAATGAATACAATATGGGAACCAGTAATAAGGAGAGCCAGAGAAAAGCAATGATAACAGCAAAATTGCAATATGAGCACTGGTAAAAATGGTTGCTGAAGACATTAGGTTTATAATACCCAGAAATTCATACCCACATGTCCTCATGGCACAGTGGATAAAGGTGTTGGTTAGATCCAGTGACAAAGAGTGTGAGTTCAATACCCGGTTAAGGCAGTGGAGAACTTTCAGAGGAAAATTAACAGGAGATAACTGATAACTGACATCCATCAAACATGGAACTAGAACAGTCTACCCCACTGAGCGAAAAAAAAAAGAGTTCAGTTCAACATTCCAACCACCTGAAGAAGGCCGGAGCGTACAACAGCCGAAATGTTGTAATAAATATGGCGACAAAGATGAGAACAATAGTCCGATTAATGTAAATAAGGTTTCTTCTTAAATGTTACATAATTTTGGAAAAAGATACACTTGGAAATATATATATAAAAATATAAACAAATATATTTCATAGTGAAGTAGTTAACATGTTACCAGAAAAGTATTTTCCAACAAAACAAAAACATCTTTTGTCATAAAAGTTCAAAGTTCAATCCAAATGCAAGCATGAAAACTATTTACTGATTTTAAATACTTTTCTTATATCAATCAGTCAGTTAAATGCCATACGCAATACATGCAATACATGCTTGGGTTATCATATCTCTTTCCATTCATGACTGACTAGGCAGAGATTTTCTTGCAGGAGTAGATAGGTTCACCTTTTGTTCAGTTCAAACTTCTTGGTGGTCTTTTGAACAGGAGTAAAGGTTTATCCCTCTTTCCCTATTTAAGATTGAGTTTTTGGTTCCTTTTAAAATCTACTTCAATTCTAGACTTTTAATGTCTCCACATAAACTCTGAAATTTTATTTGAAGTTTAGTTTTTTTTTGTTTTTTTTTTCAATAGAAGTAGGTAAGTTAGCATAATGTCCAGTTCATACTCCTCCACAGTCTTCTGAACATGAGTAGAGGTTTATCCCTTTTTACCTGTTTAGGATTCATTTTCTGGCTCCTTCTACAGTCTTTTTCATTCTCTTTATGTGTGTGAGTGTGTGTATATATTTATTTTAAACCAAGTAAGGCAATAAAGTCACTAAGACGCAAAGGTTTACTGAGAGTGAAAGAAACTAAGAAAATCTTACTGAGGAGAAAGGACAATAAAAGAACAGGTGTCATAGAAACAGAAATTGACAAATGATGTTGCATTTAAATTTCTGAATATTGTAGTTGATAGGAAAGCAAGCTGTAAGAGAGTTTCACGGGCAATATGTATGAAAGAAGCTTGTGGAATAGAACTGATGATTTCATCTAGCAAATTCAACTGGAAAATGATGAAATCTAGCTGTCAATCTAGTACTATGCTTAAATTAATGAAATTGAGAAACAAAAGAGGAAAGCTCATCAGATATATAATTGACCTTTATGAAAATAAGTTTTGTATGACCTTCCAATAAACACCCATCTTGTGCATGCATGTACCTCGGACAGCCAGATAACACCTAATGGCAATCAAAATAACTGAAGACAAAGTGCTGTTCATCAGCAAAAAAGCCAAAAGGGTGAAACTAGAAAAGGAAATAAATACAAACTTGTGACTAATTCATGCACTGAGTACTGCTGCCACATCTGGTGAACTCTCTGCCTTTGGGTGTAGAGGAACCCGGACGAGGCTCCACCGAAGGGCAGAGTCTTGTTCGGGGTGGTTGACTGCCCCTGAACCCGTTTATGCGGGTTCAAAGAGGGAATATTTTTTGATTGATTTATTTTTTGCAGATTATTGGATTGTCAGAAAATATCTTTACATTGTAAGAATTTTGTGGGGAGATAATAATACAAGTCTTACTAATTAACCCATAATAGGAGGGTCAAGAGGCGGATTCATACCTTTGCCAAATGTATTTACATGTTAGTGAATATAACAAACCCAACAAGAATTGGAATTCAGTTCTTCAATTAACAATCCATTACACCACCAATACATCCAAACTTACAGCACCCCATGTTTTCAAGTGATCACCCATCTAAGTACTGACCAGGCTGAATGTTGCTTAACTTTGGCGATCATATGGGAACTAGTGTTTCAATATGATGTGACCCTAAGAATTGTGCTCTTTCAGACAGAGGATGGAGTAACTGTATTTGTACTTTTACCTCATTGGTTAAGGTGCATAAATAAAACATAAATTTAATTCTTTTTTTTAGGTAAAAGGTAAACATTACTTTTAGAAAATCTACTTAATCCTTAAATTTACTAAAAGACTTCAAAAACCATCTCAAGGTCAAATACTGGATTTTAAAGATAATTCTAAATTTGTTTACATTTTTTTGTATTCAATGTTGACAAAAAAATGTACAACTGTTTTAAAATACCTAAAAAGTTAACACACTGAAATAAATTTTTCTTTTCATACTATGAACCTCCATAGATTTACTAAAATATTAGCATACCATGATGAAAAAATGCTCCAAATTTTGATCATGAAAATCTTTATTATTAAGAGGAACAACAAGAGGATTTTTTGTATATTAAATTATATTTTTTAAATCCTTTTTAGAACATTCAAAATTTTGCTTAAAAATTTTGTTTTTTCTTATGTTATCAAGGGTTCCAAATATTAGTATAGGAAATTTTAGTATCTTTTTTGCATTGAAAAACACATTGATTTGGAAATTCTTGCAAAAATCAAATAATTGTCAGATTTTAATGAAATTTTCAGGACTTAATGAAATTATTTTAGAAATGTTTCTTCTTTAGAAAGTCTTGGTAAAAATTTTTTTTTTTAAATGATACTCCCTCTCCCACATATTTAATTTAATTATACGAAATTTTGAGAAATTAAATTTTGACCCACTTAATGTTTATGTTAGTTAAAAGCAAAACTTGGAGAATTTAAATAATCAATTTTCTTTTTAAAACAGGACCGACAGTTACCAAAAATCTGCTCTGAATCATAAGATAAAAGTATTATTAATTAGAAAAGCTTTTATGGATGAGATGGTCATTATTATCTTAAGAAAAAAAGTTTTTTCAATGAATAATGAATTTTTACAAGAATTTTTTAATTTTAAATTTTATAAAGTTTTAATTTCTGTATTGATTTGTACCGGTTAGATTATTGTTATATGAAGTAAAAGCTGTGTTTTTAATCATAAATACAGTGTGACCCGGATATAAGAGAGATTTTCTCTGGTCCCAAATTAGAGCCCGTGTTAATAAACAAAATAGACCAAACCTGGATATAAGAGACTTCTTCTCCGGTCCCGACAACTCTCTTATATCCGGGTTACACTGTACAAAAACTCAATATTTTAAAAAGAATTTTGAATTTTTTTGTATAAACATGCCAATTTTTGCAATTATAGGCATCCATACACAACACTCAGCCCTATAACTATAGTAAATAATTTATTGTAAATTTGAAGCCGAACTACCAAATCAAATTTTTTTTTTTTTTTTTTTACCGAAAAAAAACAAACACTAAAATTTCCTTTGATTTTTTTAAATTTCGGGCCTTTTTAAATCATGGTATGCTCTTTTTTCAGCGAATCGGTAGAGTTGATAATAAATATAATATTGTCATGTTGTTTCTGGTTTGGGGAGACAATTCCAGCAAATAACAACCTTGGAAAGCGCCTGAAAATCAAACCATTTATTTTAGTTTTTTTAGCCAAGCCTTGATGGAACTCTGCGGAAGCAGTTAACAGTTGTTCATGAAGTTTGCAAGTCATTTCCTGTTTTTGACCACAGGCTACGGTGCGTAAATAAGCTAAAAAGAAAGCATTACTTTTACTTTAAGTCCAGTTAAATCAATCCTTAAATTTACTAACTACCTTTGAAACACAATTCTAGGATAAATATTGGATTTTTAAATTTGTTTACATTTGTCGTCTGTTCGATGAATTACGAATGAACGTGCAAATGATTTAAACATTTAATCATTCATTAATGTCTAAAAAAAAAAAACTTTACATTCTAAAATTAATTTTTGTTTTAATAATGATTAGCTTTTTAGGCTGTTATCTTTCAAATAAAACCAAAATTAAAATTTAATTTCAAAGAACACATTTATTTAAAATGCTTTTTTAAAAAAAAAAAAAAACGTTCATGGCGGTATGTTTATTTTGAAACAAAGAAATTTAAGAAAACGTTTTATCATTTCTATCATCAAATTTGTCTTTAATAATAAGTAATATACCATCAAGGAAAATGAAGAAACTAATATATTTATAAATAACTCTATATATCTCTCTATATGTATTTATTTATTTATATCAAATGAAGAAAACTTTTTTTTTTACTTACTACTTTCTGTGTTTATTGTTTGATTTGACTTCGAAAGAGCGAAAAATCAAGGGAGATAACTCATAAAAATACTGAAAAATGTCAAGTTTACATTGGAAAGCGAGTTTTTATACAGCTGCAATGGTAACCAGTAAGACGATGAAACGTGTTATAAAGAATCCTTACGGTTCGTAATATGTTAAAAAAAAAAAAAATAACTGTCGCTATGACTGATATAAAAAAATAACTCATAAAAGTATAACTGATTCCATATGTTTTTTGTCTCATTTTCATTTGATTGTTAATGGTACATGCATGGTACAACAGTTAAACTTATGTACCATGCGGGATACACGCGTAGGCGATCATGTATCTTTCGATACATGACTGGCGAGGCAGATTTTTTTCCCGCAGTAGGTTGCCATTTCTTTCTGCCATCCAAGTTCTGCTATTTACCCATAGTTGGGGGGGGGGAGAAGAAGAGGATTCATACCTTTCCTAAAGGCATTTTTAGCACGTAAGTGAATTATTGGAATTTAATTTGAGAACCATGAATACAATATTTTACAAGTTCACATTCTAGCCTATTTTTCCAACCCTCACACCACACCAACTGTTCTTCTTACTTTCAAAACCGACTCCCAAACCCTTGATTCTTATCAGTGATAAGAATATATTTTCTGACTAACAAGAGAGCTGGAAAATATGAAAAGGAATTCTACCACCATTATTCTTTCTATAGTGCCATAAAGTCTTGGGGAAACCTCACAGCTTGTTTATTCCAACCATTTTTCTTACTTTCAAAATTGGCTCCCAAAGCCTTGATTCTTATCCGAGATAAGAATATATTTTCTGGCCAATGAAGGGGCCAGGAAATTTGCATAACAATTTTGGAGGGAAAAGTTCCCGATTTTTCTGAGCCTCCCAAATATCCATAAATTTGGAAATTCTTTGGCAGTGAGAATTTACCACTGTCTGTGAGGTCGGTGATAGAGAACACCAATCAACTTCAGAACCACTTTCAACCAAAGAAGAACTAGGGTTGTCAAGAACGAACAACAGCCAACTATTAAAGACCAGTTGAAAGCTGCCTCCTTTCACCTACAAGACTTCTGTCGTCGACCTATGAACTCTCACTCAACTGCAAAATTCCTATATCTACCAACATTTTTCTACTCTACAAGAACTTTGAAGAAAACTGAATGTTTCTAACCATTAACAGAATTCTACTCACTTAAAGAACTTTTAGGTGCTCAGAGAAATATTTTGAGCAAGCCATTTTTCTGTTAAGACCATTTTCTCAATTTCAAGTGTTAACATCTGATAAAGAAAAATGTTTTGCTCATAAATTTTATTCAAATTCTACACTTGTCATGTCTTTGAATGACTTTCCACTTAGAACTGAGTCACTATTGAGTGACATACATATAACTCTGTCCATGGTTTCTGCTATCATCTCTAAACTGGATCCTCAAAAAGCATGCAGACTTGACAGTATCCCAGCAATAGTCCTTAAGGAATGTGCTCCTGAACTGGTTCCTGGTCTCTCTAAACTCTACAATAAATACATTGCTACTTCTTGCTTTCCTGCTTGTTGGCAATCCTCTTCTGTAGTTCCAGTCTTTAACAACTCAGATGAACCATGTGATCCTTCTATCAATTTTTAGTAAAGTGCTATAGGCTCTGATTAACTCTGACTTGGCGAGTCATATAACTTTGCAGGGTCTTCTTTCAAATAAGCAATATGGCTTTTGCTTCTCTGGGTCAAGCGATGATGTATTAATGATTACTGCTAAAAGATTCTGTCAAGTTTTAGATAAGAATGGCGATGAATGGGCTATTGATTTGGATATCTTGAAGTTATTTGACAGGGTTTGACATATTGGTCTTAACAAATTTAAAGGTTATGGTATTTCTGGATTAATTTTTAAACTGATTCAGTCTTTCTTATTAAATCATAAAAAGAAAGTTGACTTGAATGGCCACTCTTCTAGATCTTTCTGCATTAAGACTTTATCCTTGGACCTGTGTTGTTCTTCATTTTCATCCATGGCCTTCCTGATGTCATCAATTCACAACACGGCATCTATGCTAAAGATACAACTATTTACCCCTGTCTTAATAGTACACTTAATCAGTTTGATATGGTCAAATTGGTAGCTAATCCAACAAATGCTTTGTTGATTTTAACACCTAAAAATGAAACTGCTCTCTTTTAATTACCAGAGAACCCTTCACTAGGGAAATTTTTCTCACCAGAATGTAGTATACATATTTATATGCTTACAGATTGCCTTTACTTTCTATATTACTGCCATATATGGTCTGGTGCACCCGCTGAAGAGATTCTTGATGAAATCCAAAAAAGATTCAGCAATATTATTGGTAGTAACATGGCATTTCAGCTTCAGTCATTTTCATGCTGCCCTAACATACATTCCTTGTACTTTTTCTATAAATACTTTCATTGTAACTGTTTTGATGACATGTCCTCTATGGTACATAGACTTTATGAATTAAAGTGAAGCACTAGATTGGTGTCAAGGTCTCATCATTTTACAGTTGAAATAGTTAGAGTTACCCATAAGTTCTATACTAAGTTTCTTTTCTCACACTTCTCACTTGTGGAATTCATTTCCAGCTTCTTGCTTTCCAGTCAACCCTGTCATTTACAAACTTAATTCTTGTTCTTTTATTGTTCTCTCTCTTTAATCATAACACTCAGTCACTTCTTGCATCTTAGCGACTTTATTGCCTTGCCTGAGGTGAAATGATTAAAAGAAAAAAAGTATATTTGGAAGTGGTTTCTAAAAT